ACTATCTATCATCTATCATCATCTATCAATCATCTATCTATCTATTTTCTATCTATCTATCTATCATCTATCTATCTATCTATCTATCTATCTATCTATCTATCTATCATCAATCATCTATCTATCATCTATCTATCTATCACCTACCTGTCTGTCATCTACTTATCTGCCCATCATCTATCTTTCATCTGATTTCTGGATCCTACTAGGAGTAATTCAGAAGTATATAGATGGAGCCAAGGGAAAAATCCTCAGGACTAAGGCAGCTGATTCAAGGTATCACACCTTGAAAAGCCTTGTTCTAAGATAATCAGAGAAGCTGGATACTATTCTGAAATAAGTACCAGGAAAGGTGAGTTACATCCTGCAAATGTGAACTCAGGGATCTGGAAAGACTTGTGCTCATCTGTACTCAGAGGTGAGGAAGAGGAAGCACTGCCAGGAATTAAAACACACGAGAGGCTAGAAGGGAGTTATCTTGGTGCATGCTGACTGGATATTTGCTTTCAAGTTAAGGAATGTAAAGAAAGAAATCGGCTGAACTTCAACCTTGTTTTAAGTAGGTGGAAATGGGTTCCATGTTGCCCTGGAGATCTGGGAACAAGAACCAATATATTTAATTAGGATTTCTACATAAATAATCTGTAATAGGCACTCAGAATGGGAGAGGAGAGGAAGAGGAGAGAAGACAGATAGGGAGGGAGAATGGATGCATTCAGCAGCCAAAGCGAGGAAAGACCCAGATAAAACTCATTACAAGGACAGCAAGAAAATAGGCCCCAATGTGAGAAACTATATGGAGGGGAAATTGATATAACATAGAAATTGGGGGGAAAATTACAGGTGGAATAGGATGGCATGTAATACCCCATTAAGCCAGGGAGCATTCTGGGTAAGCATTTCAGTGCTTGTACCTTACACCATTTGATACGGAAGAGAAACATCCTGATGAAGGGATAGAAGCCCTGAAATTGTGGCCATTTGCAGTTTAAAACCACAGCATCACCAGTGTTTGAATTGCATGCAGTTTCTTGTAGAGTCTCCTGATTTTTGAGAGATACTGGAAATCTGGATTTTGAAAGGAAATCCCCTGATTGCTAAAGATTAAGTAATAATAACCACCATAATAAAAATAACAACAGTAAAATACCACACAAGACATATGAAACCAGGTTTTGTAAGTTTATTCCAGCCAGTAGGTTTCCAATCTGCAACTTCTAGTCTAAGAATTTGTGTCTCTTGATATTCTTTATAAAAATTTTCTAAAATCTTCATCAGCAGGGGTATCTATTTCGCATCTCT